AAAACAATAAGAAAATGAAAGAAATTTATGAGGAGATTAAGTAAGTGGAGAAGTGCTATAACCGTTTGTTTCAAAATATCCTGTTTATATATCTTATTTCTGTATAATCTTAAGCTACTCGACTATTTCCCTATTCAGGACTAAGAAAACCTGCTGTATGCAATGCATGCATCCCTTATGGCTAGAAAACGACCGTGCACTGCTATTGTATAGCAGCGAAGTAGTAACATACCACTCAGGATTTCTGGTTTATCGGCCTGAATATCTTCTTTAGATGGTTTTAACAATGCAACCAATCCCTTCAGTACGGCTAACTGTACATCATAACGCATGAGGTCTTTAATCAACTCGGAAGCTTCATATTGGACTTCGAGGTGTAAAGATCTCAATAGCATCAGTACAGAATCAACAATGGTGGGACTAGTCGTTTTAACAACAGGCTATTTTGGGAGAGAAGAATATACAGATGAGTTGACGAAAAAATAACGGATGGTTTTTCTAAAACTGAATTAGTCTCTCACTCCATGCGACCTGGACATCTGAACGCCATTTTTGGGTGGCAAAGCACGACCAAAGGATGAAAACAGGCGACATTTCGTGAAGTAAATAACACTCGTAAACATGATTATAGTCCTTTGTCGCCGTCTATTTCTCCGTACGGTTTGCCACCCCAAAATGGTTGAGAAAGCCTGCATGGTCACATGGCGTGACTTCGTTGAAAGGCTTTAATAATAGAGCTCCTCAGCTGGCGTACAGAGTACACAGATTGCCAATTTCAGTCTTCACAGTACTAAATATCACGTACCTACGATCCCGAACGGGTCCCAACCTTACGCTTTTGTACGTACATGTACTTTCGCTCTCTACAATTTGCTTATGCCGTCTGGCAAGACAATCATGCTAAAAACTGCAGGTCATTATAGGGTTTGAATCATGTTGAAATTTCCAACATGGCATGAAACATGACTGGAGCAGTTGATGGAGGGAATGTTGCAGTCAATTATAATATTGCATGTATTTGTATATGTAATAGTACGTGCTCCTCCTTTACAATATGTTATGACAAAGACTAAGTACAACTTGTGTCTTAAGTACCAGCCCAAGTACATGACAATAATCGTTCGAGTACCAGTGAGGTAAAACTAAAAATCTTCAATTGTCGCCTTGATATTTTTTATCAAGCCTTCGTTGGTGGGAATGCAATATTCATATTTCAAACAAAGTCAGATACAAAATGCATAAAGTCAAAGTACGATAAGATGCAAACGTCACATGATCTGAAATATATACGAGGTTGACTGCAGAAGTCTGTTTCTCTGTGATATAGACATTTAATTTACAATCAATTTGACATGCGCGAGGTTGCTCATACAATATCTCATAAAATAGAAAAAAAGCTTTACTATTTTTCACCTGAACGATTCTTAAGGTTTCCGCTGCCATTTGCTGAGCCTTTGGTGATGCTGCTCGTAACAAAGCGATCAGTGCTTTATAAATTTGGACTTCAAACTTGGGATTGCCCTAACAAGCAAAAAATAACGCTATTATAATTTAAGGACCATCCCCAAGGTCCTTTTGGTGAACATGAACGGTATTAGAGATGGAATAATTTTGTTTAAAATAAATTATAAAGCAATGTTGCATTACAGTACGTCAACCATACAGTATAATACTTGTGATACTGGCCAAGGTCGTAGCCATCGATTCGACATGTGAACATAATTTCAGTACTGAAATTCTTTTTCTCACGTGACAGTCTACTCACGCCTGAACTAAATTATTCCTGTGATCTGGGGATATGTGTACTGTCAGGATACAGATAATAGTTTCATAACCCTCCGCAGGTTTTCAACCATTTCCACGGACAAAATGCCCCACGCGAACACCCCCGCCCTCTGCCGAAAATAAGAATTGTCGCACCAATATCTTCATGATGGCTTTGGTTAACTAAATTAAAATGCGCTTCAGACAGAACCTCATTAACCAAATGTATTCTTTGTTACAGACTTTATAGGCTGTTATTTGTATCCACTAACATTTGATAATTCTTGTATCAGTGTTTTAGCACAATCTTGAGTTTCTTCCGAGGTCGACTTTGCAAGACATTCCGCCACTGCTCGAATACCTATAAAGATTTAAAGTGACGCATCGTCATCGAGCTATATTTTCAAAAAATGTGAAGATACAGTATATGTATCATGAACAGATACATCAATTTAAATACTGTCCAGTAGTGAACAAATTACCAAAACTCTCGCAAATTAATTCCTTGTATCTTCGTCCGGAATTAGCAATGTGCATTAAAAGTTTTAAAGCTTCAACTTTATCTTCCTATAAATAGTAAGAAATGCTGAACTGACGTCATAGAAAGTATTAAAGACATGATCATTGTAGTTTATTGGCATTTTACCTCTTTCGCTTGTTTCAAGCCCAATATTTCTAAAACTGATAAGACACCGCCAACTTCTAAGAATTCTGTGAGAAATTTATGACTGAAAGAAAAATAATGAAGTCAAAGTGCCGTGAATAAAATTGATGAACTTCATCCGAAAATGACTTTTAAAGGTATAGTACAGTTCGTTAAGGATTAATTACCTAATGAGGACTAAAGTGTTCTGAACGCTCTTCCGGTCATTTCTAATGTGTTCCAGAATGTCCTTTCTTCGCTTTTATTTAGTTTTTTAATACATAAATTTAAATCTAGATTCCCAAAGCCGAAGTGAGGGCATTTTATTTAATTCTTCGGTTCGCCATATTTATAGTGATCTGTGGCACGACGTCATATTGTGCAGCAATTTCTTTCATATTGTAACATCAATAGTTAAAATTTGTTCTTGCAACTGATCGTTTGAGTTTAGTGCATAGACTTCTAACCTTTGCAGATAAGACATAATTGGATATACAGTAGTAGACTTGCCCACAAGTCGATCCTTTGCAAACCTTAAACTCTAAACCTTAAACTCTAAGCGTGCAAAGCATAATGGGAGCATTAGATGAAAAAATACATACCCGCTAGAAGCTCCTACAAAAATGGCAATGGCCTTGAGCTGTAAACCAACGTGAGTTCCAATCATATATCTGTATTAAGTTAAGAATATAATACGCTATCTATGCTTTGGCTGATATTTATGAGCTACCAAATCATTAACATTGGACTAAAAGCCCTTTGTGTGAGTTGTGTGAAACGAGTAAACCAGAGCTAGTGATTGACTATAGGGATACGTCATTCTCAACCAAGCAGTTAATCTCGTTAGAAATAAGCTAGCTGATTGAGCAAATTCATTTTCGATCTCTGGACCAGTTTTATTTTGATTGGTCACGATGAAATCTTCCAGTATCCGTGCTCTCACTTGCTTGTTACCATGGTCCCACTGGTGAAGCAGTTTGCGAACTGAGGCTGTATCATTGCCCACGATAGGCATTTCTAAACAGAGTAGGTACAGGACTTTGCGTTATATAATACTGTGAGGGGGAAATCATATCACTGAATGGTATATCCAAATCAATGTGAATTTATTATGGTACAATTGTGAAAGAAAGTGCAAGGTTTCACTAATTAGCTGCCTAAATCAACATATACTGTAATTCGATTAAATATAATCTACAGTACCGTACTTCAAATTTTACTTCACAGTATACTACCTAGCTATGACATACAAATTAATAAATAAAAGTATTTAATGCAATTTATTAATAGTTCCAATGCAGAAGGCAGTGCTGACCAGAAACAAAGTATCGATTGTGGTGTAATGTAATAATTTTTTAAAAAGTTAATTTCAATTGATAGTCCAATGCTCTACCAGCTGAGCTACAATGTTGTCCAATCAGTTCGAGCACAGGTAGGTGATGTTTCATATTTTGGAACTCTAGTTCCTTCGATATCAGCTATGAGTAGTATATGTTTACGATCATCATGTTTGTTATGTACTGTACGCAGGTCGGTAGGTGCCAAAGGTCACAGGTTCAGTTCCCTCCATGGTTAAGCAAAAGCAAATTTTTCAGTTTCCTGGCTTGGGATACACTCAGATAGCATAATCTTAAATATAACACTGCACCTGATTACATAACAGCAAAATCAGTAAATTCATGATCATGAATATTAATAACTTACTGACCGAGAGTGAGGGCAGTACGGGAAAATATCCAGCCGAGGACTTGCTGTATTGATCGAGCGATAGCAAGGTCAACACAGCAAGACGAGGTTGGATATTTTCCCGTACTGCCTGAACGGTTGAGGTCAGTAAGTTTTTTATTATGTGGCATTGTGCATTTGTGAAAAATGGGGTGAAAGGTCATGCGAGGGCAAAGTCCGAAACATTTGCAAAAAAAGCAATTGTAAAAAATGTTCTCTTGGTTAGTAAAATTACTCTACAGCACTTTTTATAGAATACTAACACAGTTTGGATAGTATTTCAAAAAAAATACGAGGTATTTTGTCATTTAATCAAAGACAACAAACATGAAAACAATAAAATTAATAAACAGCATCGACAAGCACGTTTTTAGTTCGCTTCATCTCATATATTTATGTCTCTTTTTATTTAACAAAAACATAAATTTTTCAGGGAAAAATTATAAATCCGTGGCTGCTTTAGCTGTATTTTTTATTTAGATGGTGTCAGATTCCTCCTGGTCGTCCGCAAATAAAATTTGCAGCTCTTCACATGGTCAAAACACAACTATTCTTGATTGCTTTAATAGTTAAACACATTGTAAAATTTACCTTGTAAATTCGACTTTCGCTAACAAAAAGTATTGAGAAAGTTCCTTAATTACGGTAACCAGAGCAGTTGCTCCTTTTCTCCATTTTATTTTTAGGTCAGCTCTATTTTTCTTCGTTTTGAATAGTTTGAAAGACTTTTAGCCGTTTGAAACTCGGCTCTCGTCGCAGCTTCGTAGGGCAAAAAATTGCGTATTGCCCGTGGGCAATACGGGAAAATCCTGCCTCATCAGCAGCCAATCAAATTGCGCGATTCATCAAAGCAAATGCTTGCCATATAATAAATATTTATATCAAAGGTCGAAGAGACTGAGTTCTGAAATATCACCCACTTGACCTTGTAGCTCTGTTGGTAGAGCATTGGACTAGCAAACCAAAGGTCGCAGGTTCGATCCCCCCTGCAATCAAGCAAAATTTCTAAATTGCCCAGTGTGGACACACTGATTGGAGAAAATTAAGGAATAAATCACCATTTGTGGCATTTGATATTTATAAATAGAGTACAAAGTGAAAGATTCAGAAATCAGAAAATAAGTTGCAGATGTGCAGTTTGTTTACATTTTGAGCACACAAATTATCATAAAATATGATGTGCTTACTATTAGTTAATATCTAACATTGTTCTGGATCGCTGTGGATGTCAACAAATAGGTTTCGTCATTCTTAACGGCAAGTTGGCCATTAAGGGGGGAGGGGGTCATGGTCCTGACTGGAAAGTTTGAAATTTAGTAAATATATAGAAAGAATCAAAATTGAGCACCTGATATCTTGGTTGCCCGATACAAACTTTCCACACTTTCCACACTGCGCAGGCCTTAAAATAGAGAGTTTTAGCAAGGAGTACGAGTACGACTACGAGTACGAAATTTGACCGCTAGCGGCCTGGCACGAGGAAGTCGTACTCGTAGTCGTTTCCGTTCAAATGTTGCTTTAGCAGTAAACAAACGAATTGCGACAACGAGTACGAGTTTTGTTTAATGGCTGTCAGCAATAACTCGCTTTTTGATGCAGCTACGGCTCTATTTGTCAATGATATTATTGATGAATCGGAGTTCGTAGCTTTATACGTCAATACAAAAACAAAATCACCGGAATTTCAGTACTGGGAGTACCAAAAAGTCGAGATGCAGCTGCAGTACATGACCAACGATGAATGCAGATCGGACTTCAGAGTGGACTTGGCAGATCTAGCTGTCTTGGCAGAAGCTTTGAGAATCCCGGAGAAGTTTGTTTGCCCCAACCGGACGGTGGCAACAGGGATGGAAGGTCTTTGCGTTGCTCTTAGGCGTTTTGCTTATCCCTGCAGGTTCAATGACATGATACCTCGCTTCGGTCGCTCTGTTTCAGAGTTGTGTTTGATCGCTTCAGAGGTGACTGACCATATATATAATACACA